ACCATAGAATTGTCAAAAATATCATGCAAAAAATCAGTTGAAGGTTAGACAATAACAAATAAGAGAATGATTTGCACGTTGAAAAAAAAGTTTTGACATTGAAATTTGGGTTAACTATGAACAGACATGCGATCGTTCGTTCTGAATACAGGTTAATAAGATATAATTGGGATTATATGTTTTGAAAGTTGAATTCGCAAACAAAATTAAAATAAAATCCCGATCGACATCGGTGTCCCTTTTTTTGAGTGCCATGAGTTCTACCTTCATCAACATCATCAACGTTGAGCGCAATAATTGCGAAAGTGGTTGAAAAATGTGCCGATCATTATTCTAACATTTTAAGTAATAGCTCAATTTATATCGCACATGATATGTAGAAATGGTGGCTCAAGAAAGTGCGATGTCGATTTAAATATTCAAATATTTTCACTTTGTTTGGTGTAGAATAGATGCATACGATCTCATCACGAAATGCAAAATTCTGCAATTTAATTATGATGTCGACCGATCGCGATTGCAGTTTGATTTGCATCAATTGATGGCAACCGGTGCTGGCAAATAAAGCCGTATTTCCGTGATTCAAACCGCTAAGTGGTAATGCTCCAAATTCCTTGATGCTTCATTATAGTTGATGTCTAATGCTATTCATATTTTCTAAACACAATTCCGAATTTTATGGAATGTGAATTAACTCGAATTTCATTCGTTATGCACTACATTTCTCTCTCTCTCTCTCTTTCTCTTCCAATTCAAAATCAGCGAATTCTGCTGAGCGAAGCCGGCTACAGAGCATTTATATTTTTCGCTACTATTTGTATTTGCAAACAGGTAGATAAACAATGCTATAGAGTAATTAGTAGGTGCATAATTTATACAACGTAAATTATGAATGAAAGTTCCCATACAAACTGCCTCAACTAAATTCATGCATTTAATTCCCTTTTCAATGTTCATTTAATGTTTGTTTGTTTATTTGTGTGTATAAGTGCTATCGCTTTAATAGTCTTCAGCACTCTCAGCTGGTTGGTTGAGTGTGTATTTCTTATTGCATCATGTTCTAAATATAGTAGATTGATTTGCAACGCTCAAATACGGAGATTGAGAAGCAAACATGAAAACTGGATCACAAACACCTTTCCGTCTAATACAATGCAAAATTTTTCATGATTGAGCGCGTACGCTCTACTAAGTACTGTTGGACCTTAATGCATCGTTTGTGCTGTTTCTTTTTTTTTCTCGTATTCATTCTTTCTCTTCCTCATTTTCAACAATTTCCCAAATGTTATGCTTGTAAATCATGCGATACTTTTAGCTATTCTCGCTTATGGTGCGCTGTCGTCTTCGAAACCGATTGTATTCGGAACAGGTCAGATGAACAAACAATCGAATTCAATGAAAAGTCATCTATTTATTTCAAATTTATTTGGACAATGAAATCAGCACGCAAAATTCACGGGGAATCAATAGAAAGAGAGTGTATCATCAGTAAAAATCAATCGAAATAAAACTAGTTCTGATTCGTAGAAGATTGAAAATGTAAATAAGCAAAAACCCACATTGAAGATCAGTTCAAGAGATTAGCGCATGATTTGACATTTCACATGAACAAATGAAGAGAAACAAAAAATGGAACTGGCGACCTGTAGACAGGCGTTGAATATCAATTCACGCTCCCGTTGTCCATTATCAATGGACGTGTAACAACGCAAACTTTTATTTTTAGTCGGTTGATGAAACGTTTCGAGCATTTTTCTTGTTATTGTTTTTTCGCCTGGAGCCGTTTGGATTTGGTATTTTGTCGCTCTGTGTGTGGCAATGGCATGAGTTCATCGATTCATTGTGATCACATTGTGTTGATCAAAACCATTTCGAACTTTGTCACAAGTAAAAGTCATCCGCGTTGTCAATTTGCAATAATATCACATATTCGTATCGCGAATCATCCAAAGGAGACACTTTTTTTTGTTGTTGTCGTGCACCATATATTGAACTTACTTTGTTGCACTTTTAATGATTTTTCTTCTCTCTTTATTTTGAACAACAAAAAAAGTGAAAGTTAGTCAACATGGTCCGAAGTACATCTCAAATGGCAACAAGCTTCTTTAAAAAAAAATTAATACGCGTACCTTTGGAAATATCTACAAATGTATCATTTCTTATCATAATTGATATAACTGCAATGCAACGATCAGCATGAAGACTGAAAACAACGATGATGTTAGACTACATTTTCTCGATGGCAGCAAGAGCCCAAGTAAATCTACCATTCAGTAGATATGTGTAATTAGACGTGCGAAGAATTTGCAATACAGGTTTTACCTCTCTCTCTCTCTGTCTCTTGATCGCCCGTCTTTTCCATCGTTGCCACTTAAAATGAGCTAAAACATTACATAGACACGATCATGTGTGCATGAGTGAATATAACGATCTCAAATAATAAATGCTTAGGTCCATGGCTTTTGATTTGCGCTATTCGCCTTTTGATTTATTCAAAAATTCATGCATGATCTCTTGCCATTCTTTGTACCGTCACTTTTTTCATGTTCATAATTCGATCTGCTGTTATGCGATCTATTTCCTCGCATTTCCGATCACAACAGTTTCCTCATTGAAGAAATAAAAAATATATAATAATTTCCAAATCTACCGTCGGGAAAAACAAAATCAAGTATCACGATGCAAGAAGAAGAAAACACACACACACACACAAATTAATCAAGAATTATTTTACTCTTTTGCCAGCACACTGAAAAATCATGGTATTGGCTAGGTGAGTTTCTGGTTTTTCGCTGGATTAAAAACTGGAATGCGTGCACATTCCAAATACACGTAATCATTGAATATATGGTATGGCAATCGGTTGGCTCAAATCGATTCAAATGTAACGATGTATAATCTTTTGCATATTCTAAATGTAGTTTACATATTAATGGTGTTGAATGTAATTCGATCCGGATTTTCCGTTTTGTTTCTTGTTTTTCTTCGACTTTCTTTACTCATTATTACCATAAGAATATCCACATCATTTTTGTTTTGAAATAATTAAAGTAAAAGTTGAGTTATAAATGTGAAACGCGGCACAGTTTACTTTAAAACCTAAACGTGTACATCTTCCTATGTTTTCTTCATTCGACTAATGCAAATCATTAATATATTTCTTCTGTTTTTTTTTTTTGGACAGAATGATGATGAGCTCAAACATATACCAAATGCGCCCATCATTTGGTTTGGAAAAACGCCTATTGTGATTGTATTTTTTCAGTGTTTTTTCCATTTAATATATGCAGTATATTTGAAATTCACCGCGTGTATATTGTGAAATGAAATGATTATTTTATGTATTTGCTCATTATTGAAGCGATTTTTGTCGACAATATCGTCGGCATTTTTCCACTCTCTCACCTGTTTATCAGCAACGAAATCAAACCATGTGATGAATCAAATGTGTTATGTAAACAATAAAAATTATTGGACTATTCGAGCGTGTAGATATCTCTCTGCGCACGAGTGTGTGTGTGTTTGGAAATGCAGTCGGATATATAAGAATTACGTTTTGTTTGGTTTCTGTGAATGAAATAACAGAAATACGATTCGATGTTTTGCATAAATTACTTCTTGTTTTCTAAGAGATTTTTCATGTTATCTCTGATGTATATGATCGAAGTCTATTCCATTGTAATCGTAGATAAAGAGAGGGAGAGACAGAGGTGCAACAAATATTCTTGAAACGAAACGAAATCAATTTATAAATTTTTTCGTTTAGACCAACATTTGCAATAATAAATATGAAATGATGTTAATTTTGTGCATTTCGACATATTTCAACCAAAAATCAATCTCGTTATCTTCTTGAATTTATAAATAGTGTGCCTATCAATTTACTTTTCACGAAATCAGGTAAATCGCTTGTGAAACAATGTTTTCCAATTTTCATATTGCGAGAGCATCAATGCAATCGTCTGAGTGTTGTATGATTCCGAATGAAAATACATATTAATTATCACATTCATTGTGAATTCATCACATTGAGATGTAAGTCATCGAGCGTTTTAGTTTACCAAACCGCCTACATCCGTGTTTGACTCATTCAAAACGGGCAACCGTATTATTTATTTTAAATTTGTCGATGTTCAAAGCCAAAACTCAGCATAATTAACTCCATCGATGTGAGCAAACAAAAGTCATCAATGAACTTCGACGATTTGAAAACAAATCCATAGTTGTTTGTCTCGTTTCATTGAACGCTTTCGTTTGTAAACAGTGAACTGAGTTAATAAACTAATTAGATATGAGATGAAGAAAAAAGATGAAAATCCAACACAGACTCTCATATCAATCAGACACGATACACTATCGAATATCACATCAACATCACGGTCCCAGTGGTTTTTGTTTTTACTGGTGCAACACTTCTTGCATATCGTCTATCTCTTGAAATGTGCATGTAAAATGGAAACGCACGCTGCCGGATGACCATCATTTACATATTAAACTTGTTCTCTTTTCTTTGATATTTAAAAAGTTAATGACACAAATTGTTCCGCTTCCTATATACATGCTCCAATATCGTAACACTTAAACACGCTTGTTGCGATAAATAAGTGATTTGAGGTGGTGTGATGCATGATCATGTGTCATTTGCATCATACAACTTATCTATCAAAAGAGTGTGTGCGCTCGTCAGGACACATTGATATTGCAATTGATTCACTGACCCATTGCTCGTTGCCATCCTCGCCATTTATGCCATCACGTAATTTCAACGACAACGACTTTTTCGCACCAATTTGTCTTTGTTTATTTCCATGCTGTGTTTATTGTGCACATATTTGCCGGTGTTGCTATTTTTTTATTGTTGTTGTTTTGTTTCACTTCTTTTTCAATTCATAATACATATTATTGATATTCAGTCGTTTTGATCTCTTGCTCTCAATCATGCTACTTCTTAATTATATATGAAAATAATAAGCACTTTAACATAAATTGAGCTACGCTACCGATACACAGGGAAATAGAGACGACGAACAGCGCACGAGTCTTGCTCTGCAATGAATGAGAAAAACACATTAAGAGTTTGTAAGGTCTTGGATAATATGCATTTCAATTACTATGTACGATTGTGTGTGCCTTTTTTTTTTGTTTCACTTTCTGATATAATAGACTGAATCATTTCGCTCTATTGTGAGGATTTTGTATTTTGTTGTTTTGCATTTATTCCCATAGTAAATCGAACGAGTGCACTTCCGTTGTTTCTTTTCTATTTCAACGCTATTATTTTTCTTTAGCATGAAGTCGAACATTCGGAAAATTGAATGCCATGCCAAATGCAATTACAAAAGATCAGTTTTTTTCTTTCTTTCTTTTCGATCTTATTAAAAGAAGTACACAAAAAAACAACAACAGACTCTTTGTTTAGTATCCATTAATGGCACACATTGAAGGCGTCTCTTTTTTTGTCCAAAAATATAGTTCTTGTCCTTGTTGCCATATGTGGCGATTAATACTATTAATTAAAGGCCAAATGGCATTCTCTGTCCTAGTACGTATACTTGAACGAACAACATACGAACCACGTCATTGCCACAGAATTTCACCGATGCCGTAGGTTGATAATAATGTTGTCGCAACAAAAATTGTAATTAAAAAAATATTATATTATAAAATTAAAATATGGAATTGCACAAAGCGTAAAATGCCGATTTTCTTTGGTGAAAGAAACAAAACAACAACAACAAAAAATAAACACAAAGAGAAAGTGGTGAATTTGGCACCTCATAATTGCGACACGAAATGATTATATATTTGGCATAAAGTAGAGAAAAATACCGAACTAGAAATGTGGCATGCACACACACACACACACACATACACCAAAAGTTACACTTATCGTTTCGAGCTAATTAAATGACATAGACACATTTGACGAGCAAAACTGTACAAACTTTCTTGACAGTAATTGTAGTTGCTATTGCTGCTGCTGCCACTTTTTTTTTAATTATATGTATTATTATTCAAGTGATTGTTGTTGTTATTGTTGTCGTAAGTGTGTTGTGCATGCGCACCAGATGAGAAAGGGTACATTTCCGATTTTAGTATAAATTAATGTGAATAGATCTTATATGTTTCAAATTCGAATTGATGTAAGTGTGTATTTGTGTCTACTCGCACGTTTTTTTTTTAACTCGCAACTGTCACTATACTTTCTTCATTAATAATGAGATCGCTTGTAATCATGCTTGTACGGTACGCTTTAAATCAGATAAGCATCTAACAAACGAGTGGAAAATATTCATCAATCTGATTCTTATGGCTGTGTTTTAACGGTTTTAATTCATGAAGTACGTAATTTGCCGTGAATTTTGCACGTGTACGCATTTTCAATGGCAATGGATTTCTCTCTCTCCTTCTTGCTCCTCTTGCTCTTTGGTGTTTGTGTTGATGCATCAGAATAATGAACTTCACCACAACTTCACCTTGCCAAGCAATAAATCACAAACCAAATTGATGAAAATCTTGGCTTAAAAATACTAATCAAATTGTATACATATATTATTTTTTTTGGAAACACAGGCCCTAAATAAATATAATTGGGGATGCGATAGAATATGTTTTCGATTTTGAACGCAGGTAACGCCGGTTAATGTATACATTGTACGCAGGCAACGAGATGATGAAGCCGAAAGAATCAAGAGCGAGAGAGAAACGCACAATGAGAGAGAATTTTATGACTTGATTGCTACGCGGAAAGTTCAAAAAGGGAATTGTTAAAATTCCAAAATCATTCAGTCATAAATTCAAAGTGCGAGGTACATCAACTTTATCATTACCAGAAACCCATCGGATTCGCTTAAATTGAAATAATTTTTCTACACGGCAAAGGCGAACACAAAACAAAAACCAAAAAGAATAAAAAAAAAACAATAAGAACGAAAATCTGGATAATTTATGATCACATTCGACCGGTAGATGGCCGAATAAAGAATAAACAAATCAGACAATATATTTAACTAACTGGTCAGTTGAGCTGACAGTACGTTAGCCAGCTAAATGGGCTAAAACAATAGACGTTATTGTTTTAATGATGAATCACTTTTCTTGTTTTAATAGCAGTGATTGTTCATTAAAACAATAACTTGTATTGTTTTAGTCCATTTAGCTGGCTAACGTACTGTCAGCTCAAATGACCAGTTAGTTCAATATATTGTCTGAAACAAATTCATGTTAATAACGGAACCTTCCGTTAAATGAGAATCAAAATTGTTTACGAATAGTCAGTCAGGGTACATATGATTCTATCGACAATGCCGACTTGTTGCGCATGTTTTCGTGTATGTTCTTTCTCTTCGGTTTTTTTACTCTCTCTCACTCTTTAAATTCAACGAAAACGATTTTAACACATCGCTGGATTTCTGATTTTTAACTTGATTGTGCATCAACTAAATATATTTCTTCCGTGCACTTGGATTTTTTTTCTCTCCGTCTGCTGGTTTTTATTTCCAAATGAAAAAAAAAACTCCGAAGAATACGAAGAAAACACATTTCATTGCATTTGGAATATGCCGGCACGAGAGTTTTTGGCTGCATGATTGAGATTGATTACAAGCATCAGGTCAATTCAAACATGTTCGCTTTGATTGTTTTGTTTTGTGCGTGTGTTTGAGTGTGTGTATGTATTTTTTTTTGTTATCTTTTTTGGTATGCACGTAAGCGCATTCGGCTCGCGATGCAGAGATGCCAGCACAGAATTTAATTGTTTCAATTCTATGTTGTTGTTTTTTTGGAGTTGATGAAACAGTGAAAATGTGAATCGTGAATGATTGGACACATCATCAAGCATCAATGAAAAGAATATTCAAGACAGGACGTGAGATCGCCCGTTCAAAAGAATGCGAAGCGCCTCACAAACTCGATTCATTTCATCTTCTAAAATTCACATACCAAAATCATCAAATTGAAAGAACAAAAATGTCCAACCGATCGAAACAGAAGTTGGCATCATTTGACGACAGAAAGCGAGTGATTGAGATAGAAAGAGAGAGAGAAGCGACAAAAAAACACAGAGTGTATGAAAGTGGTTGCCATTGATGCCTAGCTAATTCTATTCGAATGTGCATTACAACATGTATATGCATGTTGATCGGGCAAATATAAAGGGCGGTATCATTTCACATTCCATTCTACTTTTTTTTTCTCGCTTCTCTCAATTCCATATATAAGTGGCCATGGATTTTCTAACAAACGTCAAAATGGCATGCAGCGAAATACCTTTGAATGGCAACGGAATCGAAGAAAAACAAAAATCGAAGTAGATCTTTCACTATAAACACTTTCGTCATAACGGCAAAAAATAATACGTTCGTCTTAAATTGCAATTATATTGATATAATTGCACGGACCCAGTGAAACGCGTACATTTCGCCTGGGCACATAATTAGCGTTCGGTTTTGATAGTATGTAATGAATAGATAGAGAGAGAAAGAAAGAGAGAGAGACGGACTATGGCATACGATATGTTTATGGTGGCTTTACGGATTGCCATCAGCGTTGAAATTTTCTAAAATTGTAGCAGTAACAACGATCATTAATTTTTGTTGTTGTTGCAGCAGCAGCAACAGCATCAATAGTAGTGGAGCAACAAGCACATTGCGCATTCGAGTGAGCCATGTGCGCTGTGCGGTTACAATTGCGAACTCACTCCAATGAAATCATTGGCGGCAAAAATTTGTTCACGTACATATAAGTCAGTCCCCGTATGCGTGCTGCCGTTTATATTTTTAAATTGCCAACGATAACTCTATTTTATTTTTCTTCGCCTATCTATCTTTCTAACTCTCCTCTCGCCACTTTTCCAAATGATTTCTATTTTATTGTTTATTTCTCGACTTGTAAATGTCAAATAGTACTAAGCATAAACACTTACATTTATCAATTCAGTGCGAGAAAAAAAAGTAATAATAATCCCGGCTCATACACGCTCCGAACAACAAGACGAGAAAACAAAAACGATGAACATCAAGTACAAATTTTTTTTTTTTCCAAACAAATTTGTACACCGAATCAATTTGTGTTGAAATGACTGCACATGGACTCTCTGAAAATATGAAGAAAGAAAGCGGTTTTCAATTTCATTAAAAAAAATAACGTTTTTTTTTGTTCACATTCGCCATTCGAACGAAATCGATTTTGGAATTTTGAATTAGTAACAACCAGTGTAATGTCTAAGCGATTATATGTTCAATGTAGCAAATGTGATCAACTGATGCCGTTTGGCTACCGGCATCTCCTTCAGGTATGCAATAACGACGTAATAACTGCTAATCTTGCACTCGCGAAAAAGCAGCCAAGGAAAAACGACAACAACAGCACACAAAGACAACATATACAAACACGAACTATTATTGAATTAGAAGAAGAAAGCAGCAATTAGATCAATTACTATGGCGAACTTATTCCAGTCGATGGATGCAATATGCAACTTGTCGACGACTCTTTTTTTCATCTTCGTTATCTTTTTGTCGTTGCTGTGAGTCATTCGATTGATAGACACTTGATGTTTACATGCCATTTCAAATTGAGAAAGTCTCAATCATAGAAATTCTTCATCGTTTGTCAATTTTACAAAACTCACAATGTTACAAAAAAAAAAAAAAAAAAAAAATCAAAAATTACGCTTGAAAATGTACACCAAGATATCGCTTAAATAAAATCAACCGAAATGTAAAAACAAGGCACAACAATTGAATAGAGTGTGAGTCAATTACTGGTTTATCATGATTACAACTAATAGCACATTGTAATGTGTCAATAAGCGTAGCATCATAATGTCGCAAACAACCGTCGGAACTCACTTTGGCGCTGTTTTCATAACTACTCGCATTGCGCGTACAATATTTCAACAACAACAATCACATTTTTTCAAACTTACTCATTTTTGATCATGATCAATGATAGAAAGTACGAACAATGCGATATCGTGAAGCAATCCTTGACTTTGATTTGATATTTTAAATGGATTTTATTATTAAATAGAGAATATTCGGGCAAACTGTGTGACTCGAATAAGTCTATGCCATGCAATCAGCTGTGTGTGCGCGTAGTATTTATTTTGTTTGAACAAGTGCTTTCATTGCGTATATAAAATTTTCAGTTAGTCAATTGAATGCGTGAAAAAATCACGTTTGCGCAAAGTTATTTCTTCATTGTTGTGTTTTATTGTTCATTTGCTTATCGATTATTATTATTTTCTTGTTGTTCTTTTTTTCTCTCTTCACCAACCATTACGAAATGGATTGCAAAAATTAAAATAATTAAATTGACCCGATACTTTCTTGATCGAAACGAAATTTGCACTTCGATTAATTGAAATGGCGCCGACCATTTAGCTGAATAGCTTGAATTGTTTAGATTTCCTTTCAATGGCATTTAATATCGGAATAATAATAATAACGTCTATGGAAACATGATTAGAACAGTTAAATCAACATACTATATACCAAAGTATATGTTTTTATTGAAATGTAAACAAATTTGGCCAGATGTGTTATTTTTTTTTTTTGTCTTTTCTTATAAGCCAACATTTCATCGAAATACAAGTATTTACTACATTTTTTTTTTCACGCCCAACATCATTGGGGCATACGAAATTTTATTTACCACATAAAATATTTCTTGCATTCTATTTGCTAATTTATTTTGAAAGAAATTTTTTTTTCTTCGAATAAATTCCAAATTATTGACGGAATTTATCATTAAATAAAGAAGACGATGATGGAAAAAAAGAATACGTAAAGATAATTGCAAATGATTACAAGTTAATGTGTTTTCGGAAGAATTCAATCAATCGACAGATAAGTATTCCAAAACAACGAAGAAAAAAAACAGACAGACACCCATTCTCTTTAAGCAAATACATTTTACAAATATCACACTACATTCATTGTTCTTTTCATTTCAAACAGTCCTTTGTTCAGTTTGTTCTCTCAATACAATGTATTTGGTGTGCATATATCCACATACATCGTTATTATTTCTTCTTCTTTTTGCAAATTGGTTGTTTTGTTGTGTTATTTTGGCTCAAAATTATTATTCATTTCTTCCAAAAATGATGCTAATTGACCGAATCGCCGTAATAGTTCATTTCACTGGGTGGCTTGGCAACAACAATGACTGCCCACACTCGTGTAACAGTTATTAAGTTCTGCGAAGAAAACGATGGAGTTCATTATCGCAAAATCACGAAAACAGAACCATTTTTTTATTCTTGTTTAAATGCAATTTATATTTACCATTTTTAATTAATAAATAATGAGTTCAGACACAGGATCTCGGTTCAAAAAGGTGTTGTGAATCGATTAAAATAGGAAACTGTCGAAATACATATTTTCAGCTGATGTCATCAGTGCAAATCAATTTAATTGAATTGCAGAACGAATTTAACCCATTTTTACCATCTCATTGAATGCACAACGACAATCGCTTGAAAACAAAAGAAAAAAAAGAAACTTCATACATAGACACAAAGTGGCACAATTATTTCATATTTCAAGTTTGTCATGCACATAAGTTCTTTTTTTTCTATACACACATACACACCAAGTATCATGATGATTATTTTCACTTTGAGCCACTGTCATTCGAAAACTTCCTAAAAAAAGAAACTGTAAATGCAACACCTCATCAATAAAACAACCATTACCGAAATGGTAAACATGCGAAAGAGTGTTAATGTTGGCGAGGTGTTGTATTTTTGCCATTCGACATTTTCTTTGTAACGACGATTAGTCATCCCATTTCAATATGCTATATATGTATGTATTTTTTGTTTCGTTTCGTTACGTTAAATAGCGATTTTTGTTGTTGTTTGGGCTTTTGTTCATCAAATACATTGGCAAATGGAGAATAATTCCAAGAGTCCAAGTCATGAACTGTTGACGATTACTTTGATTTATTAACTTACGTTTTTTCTCTCATTTATTTGAATGACGTAATGCCTTAAAGGAACCTGTGCCGTGCAATTTTTATTTTCTGCCTCATTTCGTACACAAATGTTATGCAGTTTCAACCAGAATGACATGTGTGTGTACTTGTGAATGCAAAATGGATTTAAAGCCACTTATTTGAATTCGTTATAAATTCAATAAATTTTTTTGAATTGAAATGATATTTATCGATTGCGTGAATTGAAAATAATTCGCTTCGTTGGAATTAGTTTTGTGCATGTGTTTGTATGTTTTTATTAAAAAAAAAAAATTCTTTGTGCTGGAAAGTGGGCGCACCACGCACATTTGCACATTTTTTTGAGTACTCAAAATACGGTGCTTATTTACTCTTTTGACATGTTTCGTTTTAAAAATAAATCCTTTATTTGCATTGGCACGTACTTCTTTCGGACGCTCATGTTTACTGTCCAATTCTGTTTGGATTACGAATATTTAAAAAAAAATACACAACAACACAAATGACGTCAAAGTATTTCGCGTACACTGCCAAATCATAATCTACAACGTTCTCGATACTAGCATTTTGGAGCAACAAATTCTAACGTCATACTAATATGAATAGTTTATCTTTGTTTATTTTTCATGTTTTCCTGTATAATATTTATTCAGTTTAGTCAAAACTGAATAAAATATTTGCATTTTTTGTCGTAAGCGATGAAGAGGCTGGCCGTTAAATGTTTGCCGCTTTGTCGCACTCACCAAAACTATATAAATCAGAATTGAAGAGACTAAAATTGAATTTTCTCTCTCTCTCTCTCTCTCTCTCTCTCTCTGTATATTTAATTCGAATTCAGACGCCAAAAACCTGAAATTAACCGTCAAAAACGTTAACAAAGAAGATTGAGAGAACGTTTCATGTGAACAATGAATGAGAGAGAATGAACGAGACGCAAGATATTTTATGTATCGGCAATTCAAAGTGATTTTAATCCGACAATTTTGAACCATGATTTTATCCATTTTATAAATTCTGAATGGCGGATTTCGGCTTCATTCGAATCGAAGTAAACAAAATATTTTTTTTAGTTCGTTCTTCACAACTCACGAAAATGCTGTGAATTTTGTTTTGTTTTGTTGGTGTGTGTGTGTAATCATACTTTTTTTTCTTCACTCATTTTGTCAAGTGTGTCCATGAAAATCTTAGCCGTATGTATTTTTTTTGTTCGTCAAAAATGATGATAATTATATGATGTTTAGCGAGCAGCTGAAAATGTTGTGGTACATCACATTGCATCCATGTGCATAGGGTATTCACTCGTCAAAATGATAATTGACTGATGCATTACAGGACAATGTACTCCTTGTGCAATCAAACTTGATGGCGAATAATGTAATATCCACAACGAAATGAACCGAAGCTCAAAGAATAAGTTGGAATTGTCAAGAGGTCCGATAATTTATTTATTATGGTTTCAGAATCGATTATTATCAAGTCATGAACGGCTTTGACGTATTACACTTTTTTTTATTCGTTCGTTTTTCATCGGACAGTTTTCATGTTCAGTCTTTCTTTGGCTAGTTAGTTGTTGTCACTTCTTGTTTATCCTGAAATGCCTATTATTATTAAATACATAGTGTTTTTTTTTCATTCGTTCGTTTTCATCAAAGAGATGGACAAAACAGACAGCGCAGCGCGTAGTTGGAAGATAGCTAACTTTTAATTTTTTTTTTGTTTTTTTTTTTTGTTGTTGTTGGTTGAAATAAGATGAGAACGAATATTTTCTAGATGGAATCGAGCGAGAAATTCCGTCGGTGAAAATGATAGTGACTTAACGATGAATGCAATAAATCTTTGAACTTTGCTTCAGTTCCATTTATCATAATGAGAGCGCATTCATTGCACTTTATCAAATGCTTTTTATCGTGCCACATCAGCGGTATTGGTGGGCAATAATTCGCAGCACCCAAAGGAGTCTTCTGCCTTCATCCACCTCTGATTTCAGATACATGAAATATGTCGTTCACTCTCGGCGCACTTCAGCCCAATGGAAGTCTAAATGCAAGACTTGTTTCGGTGTGCATTTTTCCTCTTGCCATCGTTTTTTTTTAGAAAAAAATCGTTAATTCTTCTACTTCAATGCAATCGAATAAC